GAGCAACAACACCACTCCACACCTGCTCCAGAGCAGACTCTGTCATAGATCAGCATGTATGAAAGCACCACCTGCTGACCAGTTCTCCCGAAAATAGCAGAATTCCTGAAAGATCCATCAAACACGGATGTATGGCTGGAAATGCATCCCAAACAGTCTTTGTCTTAGATGCTCAGATGTGTCTGTATGCCTGTTGTTTTTTTTAAATGTAACTGTAAGCAGCAAAGAGTTTTAAACCGCTGTGGTTAGCAAGAAGGTCTTGGGTTCAAATCTTTGTTTTGTGTGGCATGTACAGGTCCTCTCCCAGCCCCACAGTCCAAAGACATGCAGTTGGTGCGGTTAGGTTAATGGTGATTCTATACCAGGGGTCTCAAACTCAAATGAGCCGTGGGCCGCTGCTGGCACCATCATCTCACTGGAGGACCACTTTAGTGCTCAAAGTAGTACAAAAAATCAAACAAACAAGAAACGACCCACTGATATTTCCTGAAATGTTGTGTTTTGTTTGTTTGTTTCAAATAAATTTCAAATATTGTATAACACGACAAAACTGCAAACATGAATGCATCGTTTTCTCACTCTTAACTAACTGAAGCCTTTCATTGCCTCCTCGTGGCAGCACTTCTATCATTTTGTTTGTATTTAATAAAATAAAAACGCAGACATCAGTGTTCACATAAATCTGAACTAACACAGCCTCAACATGTTTGTACTTTACTGTACCTCAGCCAGGTGCGCGGCTCCGAGCCATAGTAAATGGCCTGTGTTTGTAAAGCGCTTTAGTAGCTTTTCTAGTCCCTAAGGACCCCAAGGCACTTTACACATCCAGTCATCCACCCATTCACACACACATTCACACACTGGTGATGGCAGCTACATTGTAGCCACAGCTGTCCTGACCACCACCAGTAGGCAACGGAAGTGTCTTACCCAAGGACGCAACGACCGAGACTGTCCGAGCCGGGGCTCGAACCGACAACCTTCCGATTACAAGACGAACTCCCAACTCTTGAGCCACGATCGCCGCGGTAGTAAAGGGACCTCTGGCTAATACGGTGGGTTCTGTGTCGGCTCGTAGCTGAAAACTAGCTTTA